ACTCCAGCCGGGCTCTGCCCGGTACCGGGGTTGGAAGGAAAGGGGACGGGGTACGCCCTCAGCCCGCCGGGGTGGGTTGTTGGCCGGGTGGGTGTGCTGCCCTTCGAGGGGACTGGGGAAACGCGCAGGGGAACCCCAAGAAGTTTAACAAAGGAGGTGCGAAGTCCTGCCCCTGAGGGAGAGCAACCCCAGGAGCCAGATACGGGGAGAGCAGCTCAGCAGAGAAGGACCTCGGGGTCCTGTGGGCTACAAGCTGAGTGTGAGCCGCTGGTGAGCCTGGGTGGCCAAGAAGGTCACCCGCATCCCGGGCTGCGTGAGGAGCACTGCGGTGAGGTTGAGGGAGGTGATCCTTCCCCTCAGCACTGGGTAGGCCACGTCGGGGTGCTGTGTGGGCTCCCCAGTACCAGGAGGGCATGGACTTACTGTAGGAGATCCACAAAGTGAAGTGCCACAAATACAGATGAGAGATTGGAGCATGCGACACGTGAGCGGAGGCTGAGAGAGTAGGGACTGCGCGGCCTGGAGGAGTCTGGGGAGGACCATTTTGATGTACATAAATACCTGACAGGGGGGTGTGAGGAATACTCTTCTTGGTAGTGCCTACTGACAGGACAAGAGGCAGTGGGCACAACCTGAAATGTGAGAAAGTCAGATTAAATGTGAGAAAAACCTTTTCTACTGTGGGTGTGATCAGGTGTTCTGGAACAAGCAGTCAGGCAGGTTGTGGGGTCTCCAACCTGGCTGAACAAGGACCTGAGCAGCCCACTGTAACTCACCCTGTGGTAGGCAAAATGTTGGGCTAGAAGGTCTCCAGAGGTCCCTCCCAGCCTCTGCTGTGCCATGGCTCTGTGATTGTTCCCTCGGGATTTGGGCAGTGTGTACCTTCCTGTTCGCTTATCCCAAAGAGGAGCTTGATGGGTCTGCGTTTGGTAATTTTTTTAAAATTGGTCACTGCATTGTGGTGTGCTGTGGTTTGCAAAGCTATTCCAGAGTCAAGATTAGTTTAGCAAACAGCTTCTTAATAATTTGAATATTGTAGTATTATATGTGTATATACAGTATGCATATATATAGTAATATGTTGACAGTAGTGTATTGAAAATGCATAGAAAATGCTGCGAAAGAAAATCAGTGTGTGATGAGAAGCAATATCTGTTACCTTTGTTGATTTGTAGAGATCCAGATATTCAAGTCCCTGGTTCTTCCCCATTTGTCCAGGGGAGTGAATAGTTATTGAAATCACTGCTAATCACTCTTAAAAGTGGATCAGCTTGCTGTAAAACTTGCTTGGCAGCTTTGAATAGGGACTAACTGTTTTTAAACGGTGGAAAAAGTGGGAAAAGCTCAAACAAGCAAATCCTACAAAACAGGGGAATCCTTCTCTCTGCTCTCAGACTTTCCCAGTTGAATCTACAGCTGGAGATGATACATTCCATTATTGATCTGAGGTTTTGTTTCTAGTTCACTTGCATGATTCAGCATTTTTGGTTGTCAGTAGTTTTA